CGTCACCCAGCTGACGTGTCCCCACCGCTACCCCCCTTCCTCCACCCCCCCGATCCCCAGCAATCGGTGCTGCGAGGCGGTGGAGGAGCGGGGCCGGGGGGCTGCCCCCCAGCGCTGACCCCTTTTCTCCTGCCGCCCTCCCCAGGCATCTACGTCTGCGCCAGGTGTGGCCATGAGCTCTTCTCCAGCCGTGCCAAGTACGAGCACTCGTCCCCGTGGCCAGCCTTCACCGAGACCGTCCACGAGGACAGCGTGTCCAAGCGCGAGGAGCGGCCGGGGGCTTTAAAGGTGCCGATTCCGAAACTTTTTGGGGTGTCGCAAAGCCCACGGGCTTTTTTTGTCGTGAGCCTGCCCGCTGAGGCAGAGCGCTTGCTGTCTAACCCTCTCCTTGGCCTTTCTAGGTGTCTTGCGGCAAGTGTGGCAACGGGCTCGGCCACGAATTCCTTAACGATGGGCCGAAGAGGGGGCAGTCCCGCTTCTGAATATTCAGCAGCTCGCTGAAGTTCCTCCCGAAAGGTAAAGGCTGCGGTTTGGCAGCTGTGTCAGCCCGCAGTTATTTTTGGGGAAGCTGCTGATGGCTGGGCTACGCCGTCTGCGATGGGCTGCGCTCGGCAGGGCGTAGCTGGCCCTGCAGATAAGCCAAGGAGCCACTAAATAAATCTCACGTGTGTCAGTCCGAGATTCGGGGAGCTCTGAATATTGCAGCTGCCCTACGGGCAGGGAGCGGGTCTGTGGAGAAGGGCAGGACTTCTTGCCCTTGTGGTTGTCGTGCTGTTTGCTTCCCCTGAGTCACAAAAAGGCTTTGGGAGGCCAAGTTCAGGGCAGCACCCCAGCCACAACTTCCTGTCCTGCTCGTCGGGCTGCGATGTTTGCGAGATGCTAGTTGCAGGTAGAAAAATAACCGTATAAAAGGGACTGGTGGTTCTGGAGCAAGAAACACAAGCCCCAATTTTTCCTCTCTTTCTTCTAAGGCAAAGCAGAAAACAACCTGAAGGAGAAGTAAGCGAGCTGCTCTACTTGGCACACTGCTCTTGGGCTGATCCTGCGTTCACACCTTGGGGTGCACCGTCTGGCCAAGGGGGCACCAGGAGCAAGAGAAACCCCAAAGCAGCTCCCGGTGTCCCCGGGCCGGTTCCCTCTCAGGGCTGCTCTGATTCAGGATCCCGGGAGGAGCATGGGGGAGGCGAGGGGAAAATGTGGTTGCTGAAGCTCCGTGCTTGCTGGGTGGTGAGGGGTATCACCTGAGAGTGTTTCACATGAACTGGGGTGCTGCAAAGGCTACAGCTCTTCATTTTACCCACCCTTACCCCCCCCAACCATCTGTTCTCCCTGGCATCCTGGCCTCTGCTGGCGAGTCCTTTAGGCTTTGCCCATGAGCAGCCCGCGGGCGGGCAGTCCCACCTCTCCTGAGCTCTGGGATGGTTTTGCTCTTGGCTTCAACCGAGCCAGGACACTCTCCAGATCACAGCCAGGAGGGACCGATTCTGCCCTGGCACCGCTGCAATCCAGAGTCGCTCCGCTGGCATTTCCAGGGTGTAACGCTGGATTAGTTGAGGTCAGTCTGGGTTAATCCCTGGTGCTATTCTGGGCTGGGGTCATGGTATGAATTGCCCTATATAAACCCTTCCAGGGTGCTAGGGGAAGGATGATTTTATGATCCCACTAGACAGCATTCATGTATTTTACCCCTCTACCCATCCTGCACACAGTAGAGACAATTCTAGATTTCCTGTGTCCTCTGGGCTTGATCTTGACTCGGCCTTACACCAGATTTATCACTGTGCTATAAACTCCAGTGGCACTAACGGTTCCTCCTTGCTCTACTCAGGTGCAAGGGAGGCCAGCGTCAGGCTCACAGGCTGCACTTTGCACAACTCAGGCTTTAGGAATCATGTCTGCATTCCCTCTGTGCTCGGAAGGGCTGTGACACTGATTTCTCCTTAATTCAGCCTCTGATTTGTGGCCTTCCTCCCTGTCCCCACACCAATCCTCCTATTTAAAATCAATACACAGGGATTTTTGAAGGTGGCAAAACCTTTTTGCTGACCCCGTGGGTCCAGCTCGTTACCTGGAGCTCACTGCTGGTCTTGTACCTCTTTCAATATGAAAATAAAGCACTGATTCACTGTGTTGGAGAAATAACCTCTTTTTTTTTTTTTTTAAAAAAAAAGCACTGTTCATGGCACCCTGGTGCATCTGTCTTGGGATTCCTTCCCTGCTCGGTTGCCCAGCCTTAGGTGGGGAGGCTGCGCCAGTGGTGGAGTGCATGCGAGGCAAATACAAATGCAGGTACAAATTCTGTGCCTCCAAAGCCCCAACCAGAAAGCTGAGAGCAGATTTCATCTGATGCTTCTGTGTCCAGCCATGAACCCGCATCGCTGGGTGCGGACACACAGTGTCTTGCATCCAGCATGGTCTCGCAATCCAAAGGTTTGGCCTGAGGTTGGTGTGTGTGGTTTTATCCTGTGCCTGAGGTTGGTGTGTGTGGTTTTATCCTGTATCTGTTACTGTTACCCCAGGTTTTGCCACGTGAAAGGGGAATGCTGGTGTATTTGGAGCCCTTTGGGCCTTCCCAGGGTCAAAACTTTCACTGAGGAAAGTTTCCTTTTCTTTCCAGTTAGTGTTTTTGCCCAACTGAAGCTGGTTTTAGCTTGTTTCATAGTATGTCCCTGGTGTTGTCAGGATTTTCTGAGCAGAAAGGATTTGAGTTTTAGCAGTGTCTCAATAGTTTCCCTCCGTGAAGCTGCCTGCAAGACTGGAAGCTACAACCCTTGTCTACCTCTCAGAGGTCTCTGCTCTGGCAGGGTTGGATAGCAGGTTCATGGAGACTGGAGACTTGAGCTGAGCTTTGCTGGACTCCAGTTCCCTCCTCTGAGAGGGTAAAGTCTGCTCTGGAGCACAGGAGCCAGCACCACATCTCCCTCCTGCTGTGCTGCTGGCCCGTGGCATCACCCTCACTGCCTTCCTTGTGCGCAGAATGACCTTCAGCTCTAATTACTAATTAGGTTCCAGGCTGAAGGTTCAAGCTGCTTTTCGACCGATTAATCCCCTAATCTGCTGCTTTGCCCTTGGCCTGGCGACCTCCACGTGACCGTGGGAGGGCAGGAGCTGCCCCTTTGCTTCTCACCCTGGACCATCCATCCCTCCTGCCCCGCTGCCCCTCGCCTGGCACTGGGAGGTATTTTTGACGTGGTTTCCCTTGAGATGCTGCGATGGCAGGAAACCTCCTTGGGAATGCCAGCAGCGAGGGGATGGCAGCGATTCCTCCCACTCGTGGGCTGTCCTACACCGTGGGGGGACACAGCCACGCTTCCATGCTGAGTTGCAGTTCGTGGACTCAGGCACGGGAGGGTGCAAGTGCTTTTCCTAACCCTTCCGCAGACGTTGCAGGGAAGGAAGGATGCTGCTGGGGTGGGCTGGGGATGCACAAGGTCCACCCTTGCAGCAACAAGAAGGAAAATTACCCAAGATGGTATAAATACGGATGGAAATTTATCCTGGAAATCTGTCCAGAGCTGGGATTTTGACAGGGGTGTTAAAGACCTGAGGCTGGAGTGACCTGGTGCTGAGGGTGCAGGATGTGACCCCGCAGAGGCAAATCCCATCCCTGCCCCTTCCCAGCTCCGCTGAGCACCCCCAGCCATCCTGGGCTCCGTGGGGTCCCTCGTCCTTCCCCGGACCTCTATGGGTGCTCAGGGTAGGAGACTGGCTCTGTGGCACCGGGCATCCCCCTCGCCACAGCTGCACTGTGGCTAGTCCTTCCCCTCTGCCATTCATCCTCATTTTATTATTACACTAATGACAATTCTGGCTTAATAAGAGGATTTTGCTTAGTTGGGCAAAAGCGGCCCCACATCAGCGACACGGGTTTAATGACAGAAATTGAATTACGTTACCAGGCCAACGCAAACTTCCTTGGTTGTTTAAAAAATCATTAATTTCCTCCACCATAGCCTCCAGCTGACCTCCCTTTTTAATTTTTTAATTTTTTTTATTCGCATGCCATGGAGAGGACCTGCCTCTTTGACCCTCCTTGGGATGGCTCCAGCGGACGGCAAAGCGGCCAGAGCACAGCAAGATTTAGATTAATTCTCCTAATAAAGACGACAAGCCCTATAGAAATTACGTTACGCAAGGAAAAAGAAAATGACCTGGAGGCATTAGGAAGCTCTAATTACCGTTACTCCTTGGAGCCAGCACTGCGGGAGGGGTGAGCCAGCTGGTCAGGCAGCCCTCTGCCTGCACCCGGCTGCTTTTACCTGAAATTTTCACTCATATTTCAAGCAGACTTAGTGGCCTCGGAGAGATGGCTCCTTCTTTTCTACTTGTGTTGGTTTATTTAATTTTACCCTTTGATCAACAGTTTTTCCCACTCCAGCTGAGCCCACAGGCTCCCCTGTGCCAGCAGGTCGGTGGACATGGTGGCACAGAAAGGGTGGGAAGCTGTGTCTGGCTGTAAACATGCACCGAGCCCCAGAGCAGCACTTTTGGGGTTTTACACATTGGGACATCCCTTAGGGCAGGGAGCACAGCCTGATTTGGGGTGCTCTTGCACAGTCTGGTCCCATCAAACGGGCGCTTTCAGCCCCAGCCATGACCCTGGGCTGTGCCAGGGTCCTGCCCTGGTGATGGCCTCTGAAGCATCAGTTTGCTTAAAAGGAATTATTTGAATTCCTTTTGGGGCACTAAGGGCTGGAGCTGCTTTTGTGTCAATTACAGAAAATAAAGTGATGGTAATTAAAAAACTGCTACACAACCCTGATTTCTCTGAGACGCGCAGGGCTGTCAAGGGGTGAGGTGCCACCCCATTGCCTGGCTCAGCCCCTCCATCCCGGGGAGCATACCTGTCCCTCAGCACATCCAGCAACAGCTGGAGAAAATTAAAAGCTTATTCCACTTCATTCACCGATAATAACTTTTTCTCTCCCTATTTTGGGCTGCCTTCCACCC